GGGGTGGTGGTGTGGTGGGGAAGCAAGTAAGTTTGCTGAATTGCAGAGCTCTTTGACAGAGCTAGTATCGGTATAATGGGGCGATTTACTCCACTTCTGTGCTGGATCATTATCCACACCCAGTGACTGTCTCAAGCATTCCCAAATCCGGTGGAGTAAAGTCAAGGCAGTTTTCCGTAATGTTCACGAGAAACTGGCCTGAACAAAGATACCTGCAGGATCCTGAAGGTGTTTGCACTTTGTTTCATTCCCATGCTTCTATCCTGATCCTGGGGGCACTGTCTCTGTCCATTAAACTGGGCTCTGGTTGTCCGCAGAGATCCAAATGCAGCAGCAGTATGTGAGCCTTTGCAAATTTTGGGCATGGTGAATGTTGTTTGCACGTGTTCATCCCACCTTGGTGCAGGGTTTTAGAAGAACATAAATGGTCTGATACGGTTCCTGTGGAGTTGTGGATTTAAAATTCAGTACCAATATCCTGAGATGAATGTTTCCTGAAGATTGTTGGACCTGTTCTGATTGGCTCTGGGAGTGAGCAAAGAGACCTCAAGGCTGCCTCGCAGGCTATCGGTTTTCCATGTGGCTGGGCTATCAGTGTTTCATCACGCCGCACTTGTGCAAATTTGTTTAGCCTTGCACAATCGTTTGTGCAGAGGGATAGCAAACTGAGTGTGCAACAGTTAGCTAAAGGATGAAATGTAATCAAGAGCATGAGGAAGGTGCCCACATTAAAACCAAGGTGAAATATCCATCCAGGGGTTGCGTCCGTCTCCCAAGTGGGTGGAATGTTTCTCAGTTTCTGAGCAAACTCTTGCCCAAACTCTCTTCCGACCCATCCACAGCTATCCTAACTATGGCTGACCGATATTGATTGGATTTTGTCCTTGTAATGCTGGAGCTCACTGAGATCTAATCTTTCCTCTTGGCGTATCATTTGAAATCAGTGCTTATTTTGAATGTTACATCAAGCCTGCATTTCACACAGCAAGACCAATTCTTTTTGTAGTTGATAGCTGATGAGCCAAGTGGTCCAATACTGAGCCATTCAGACTGAGAAGTCTCCAGTTTGTTTGCAAGTGAGACAATAATTTGGGCATAGATGCCTTCCCTTCAAGTCAAAGGAGTATCTTGGACTTAGCTCTTGCTCCCATATACTTCCCTAACGGTTTCTGTGAAGCGTCAGTGTCTGGATGCTAAACGAGGCAGAATTGAATTTGTCCTTGATGTCCTGTCTGTCTCAATGCCATAGCTAAACAGTCTCTCAGATTGATTCATTTGGCAAAGGATGGTGTGTTTGTGCAACTTGCTGGAAGCCTGCACCTTCAGGGCCAGCTTTTTTTTTGGCGTGTTGAGGTTTTCCAACTATCACAGAGATTCGGGGCATGGGGTCACCAAGGTCCAGTTTGAGATGTCATTGGACAGCAGAAAGTGTGACTGGCTTCTGCCTTTGTCACCTGGGATGTACTTAGGGTCCTGACACGGACCACTCACGAATGGACTGGAGAACTTCCTGTCTTTATTGATTCAGTATTGCACCATATAAAAAGGATTTTGAACTTGCTGCTCTTAGCTGAAAGATTGAGGCATTAAGGTACAGCAGGGCAGCAGTGGTGGTTCCTCTGAAGGTTAAGGGGAATTGGCTGGGCTTTCTTATGTTGGAGATGGCCATTACGTGGCACTCGTGTTATCTGTCACTTAGCAGCCCAAACCTGTACAGTTCGCCAGACCTTGCTGAAGGCTGGTTCACTTGCTGCCCTCGGGTCCTGAATACACTGAGCAACAGTAGAATGTGTTACACAGGTACTGACCACCTGTCTACACTGTGACTAAGGCACTAGTTTCTACTTGTAAGCCCAGTTGAATGTGCTTGCTTGCTTGCTAAATTGATTGTTGTCATATGTACCGAGATGCATTGAAAAGTGTTGTTTTGTGTGCTATACAGGCAGATCGTACCATAAAAAGCGCATCAGGGTAGCAAAACGGAGTGCAGAATTCAGTGTTACTGTCACACAGGATGTGCAGAGGGAGAGAGATCAGAATTAATATTGGAGAGATGCATTCAAAAATCTGGAAACAGGGAAGAAGCTGTTCTTGAATCTATTCATACGTGTGTTCAAACTTTTACATTTTATGCCTGACGGACGAGAATGATAGATGGGCTGGGAGGGGTCTTTAATTATGCTGGTTGCATTTCCAAGGCAGCAGGAAGTATAGGTGGAGTCATTGGATGAGAGGCTGGTTTGCGTGATGGTCTGGACTGTGTTCACAACACTGTGTAGGTTCTTGTGGGTTGGGAAGAGCAGTTGCCATACTATGCTGTGATGCATACAGATAGGATGCTTTCTGTGGTGCATCTTTACAAATTGGTAAGAGTCCTTGTGGACATGTCGAATTTTCCTCAGCCTCCTGAGGAAGTGTGGCCTTGTTGTGCTTTCTTGACTGTTGTGTTGACATGGGTGAACCAGGACATATTATTGATGATCATCATTCCCAGGAAGTTGACGATCTGGACCATCTCCACATCAGCACCACTAATGCAGACAGGAGCGTGGCCTCTTCTTACTGATGGTGGTCTTATGGTTCAGGAATTCGAGGATCCAGTTACAGAGGTCTCGGAGTTTGGAGATGAGTTTGTTTGCAAGTATGATGTTGAAGGCAAAACTGTAGTCAATAAGTAAGGAGCCTGATGTAGGTATCCTTGTTATCCAGATGTTCCAGAGGTGAGTTTTAGGGCAGGGAGATGGTGCCTGCCCTTGACCTGTCGCGCAGGGCAATTTAGCATGGCCCATCTGCCTAACCTGCACATTTCCTGGAACGCTACAGGGCAATTTAGCTTGGCTGATCCAAGTAACAACATCTTTGGATAAAAGTGTAATCTCGTCAATCAGAAAACACTCCATTATAAATGGAAAAGAAACAAAACATCTTTTGTGTCATACCCAAAATATCACACTTAGAATATTCACACCAGAAACCCTGCATCTAACGCCTTGTTTGGTGTAAGCTGTACGTGACTTCAGCTTTTAAACGGGATGTATAGATAGCTTCTTCCTGCAGCTATCAAAGCCCTGAGCTTCAACACACTCAGCCTCAAGTAACTTCTTTGGGGTTTTATCCCTGTACTTCTGGTTAGGGAGCAACACCAACCTTCACTCTAAGGTAACTTCGTTCACTGTATAACCTTCCCTTCTTCGGAGCACTTTACTGCACCACCAGGGGCTTCACGAGACTGCCACACTCAATGTCCAAAATTAAACTAGAAGCTTCTCTCTCTACTCAGCTGTGCCCTTCTTAAGCTTAAAAATTCCCAGAACGCTCAAGCAAACCTTGAGATCCCATTATTAACCATACTGACTTGCAAAACAACATGAACAGAAGTCCATATTGGGTTCTGAGGAAGGGTCACTGGACCTGAAGCGTTAACTCTGTTTTCTCCTTCACAGATGCTGCCAGACCTGCTGAGCTTTTCCAGCAACTTTGTTTTTGAACAGAAGTCCATTTGTCGGGCACAAAATTCTAGAGCGTGAAAAAAACTTTTTGAAAGAAATCACTTTGGCCATATAAATTAACTCATATATATTGAAAATTCACCAGTTATTACTTACATTAAAACCTTTTATAGGCATAAATCCTACAGTTAACATGGCATGTTGTACTTCCAACACAGCTGCTGAAGTTTCGTTGGGACTATAATGCTGAATTAGTACTGTTTTGTTTGCTGTCTTTAATTTAATTTAGGGTAGTGCTGTGGTACATTGCTGAATGAGTGCTGCATTTATGGTGGTACCAGACTTGGAATGAGCAGTAAAATTAAGGCTTGTTGTTCCCGTTCAACTGGATGGTAAAGATCACACCAAATTGTTTGAAGTGGAAATCCTCCTGAGTCCTGGCCAACATTGCTTTTTCAACCTACACCACAAAAAGCTGAAAGTCTGGTCTTTCAAGTCAGTGTTGATTGTGGGAGCCAATAACTTGCAAATGGCTTGAATCACAGGCTCTCATTATCTCTGGAAGGTACAAAGAATTAAGACACAGATGCAAATCTCTTTTGCAGCAGGCATGGTCATGTTCGATCAGAAATTGTCCATTTGCTATAAATCCAAACTGTATTGTTCAACCTCAGGGCTGTTACCATTCAGTGAGCCTTGTTGCTGTGCACGTGACAGGAACAATATTGATTCAGTACAGCAGACATTTGAACTGAGGCAGCAGATATCCAAGGCTGATATCCAAATAGCAAATATCCAAATATTCTGTGCCGTCTGACACCAGCTCTTGGCTTCTAAATTTGTCTCTTCATGAGGGCACTTGTGCTATTTGCAAAATGGGTGGAGCAGGCAGCCTCCGAGCATGTGTTTCGGTGGTTTGTTTGCAGTCAACCTTTCTCAACCCATTTCCAAAGTCCTTAACCCAACATGGGACTTAATTAAGGTATCGATCACCAAACCTTCCAAGTACAGCTTAACCACTGCGTTGGTTCCAAGACGGGGTGCTTCTCTCTGCTGTTACCAGCTTGTTTAATTCGAAGCTATGCACTGAGACTGGTGATCTGCCCTTTTGTAAAGTTGAGGAACACAATAATGAAAAGATGTGGTAGGTGCATTTCACAGGAAATTGACATGGACTGAGCCGGCTGTGTCCAACCTGGACTTGGTTAGTTGACCTGACTCGGGTCAGGAAGGTGTAATCAGCCTCACTGTTTCTGAGCCGTGAATAGGTGGAGGGAGGAGGGAGGAGGGAAGAGAGAAACTGGGGGAATGGCTCAGTATTACCAATCCTGATAGTTATCCATGATTCACACAGATGGCTCATTGATCGTAGGCCAAGAGCAGCGATCGTTCATCATTTTAACATGTGGGTGCCTTGATGTAGTTGAATGCAGTTGTTCTCTTCAACGGCATCTCCACTTTGGGATCTTGCTGTTGCTAGATATTGCTGCTTGCTCCCTTGTTCACTGTTACAAACTAAGGTGGCACTTACGTTTGTGCTTGATCTTTCAGTGGGCCACGCTGCGAATAGAAAGGGGAGCCCGTGAGAGGAAACAGCTGATCTACAAAACAAACTCGAACGGTAAGTGTCTTATGATGAGAATGCTCATTTCCTTCGTCCTTTTCTACTGGGGGCATGGGCATCACCAGTAGGGCAAGTGTTTGTTCCCCCCCTCCCCAAACCTCTAATTGCCTGTGAATGACGTGGTTCGTTGGGTCTTGGCAGGGGGCAGTAAGAAGTCAGCCACATTGCGATGGCTCTAGAGCCACATGTAGGTCAAATCAGGTAAGGAAGGCAGATTTCCTTCCCCGAGAACGGTAGTGAAGGTGATGGTGATCCCAAGAAACCCAGTGCTGGCTCTCGATTGCAGACAGTGTTCTGGAATTTCAATTCCCCCTGCTGCCTTGGTGTGCTGTGTCCTCCAGAGTCTGGGTATCAAGATTCCTCTCCAAAAATAGTGCCATACAACACTACCCCATCTATCTGATGACACGTTACCAGACTGATCACCGATGCAAGTTTCAGAGTTTGCGACGTGCTGCTTCAGAGGAACTCTGAAGTGAACCACCCTGTTAGGGAGTCAGTTGTCCCATTTAACAGGCACAAGGCTTAGGAATCTTCAACAACAGCAAGTAACACATTCACCCTCAGTGACTCTCACAATTCAGTCATGGATTCACACAGCATGGAATCAGACCAAGCTCATTCACGCTGATCAGGAATCCTAAATTAATTCCTAGCATTTGGCCCATATTCCTCTAAACCCTTCCTGTTCATGTACCCATCCGGATGCCTTTCAAATGTTGTAATTGTACCAGCCTCTACCACTTCCTCTGGCAGCTCCTTCTGTACGTGCACCACCCTCTGTGTGAAAAAGTCGCCTATGGGTCCCTTTTAAATCTTTCCCCTCTCACCTTAAACCTATGCCCTCTCGTTTTGGACTTCCCTACCCTGGGGAAAAGACCTTGGCTATTCACCCTATCCATGCCTCCTCATGATTTTATCAACCTCTGTGAGGTTACTCCTCAGCTCTGACGCTCCAGGAAAAATAGCCCCTCCTATAGCTCAAACTCTCCATTCCTGGCAGCGTCCTTGTAAATCTTTTCTGCACCTTTTCAAGTTTAACAACATCTTTCCTATAACAGGGAGACCAGAACTGAACGCAGTATTCCAAAAGTGGCCTAACCGATGTTGTATACAGCTGCAACATGACCTCCCAATTTCTATACTCAATGCACTGACCAATGAAGGCGAGCGTACCAAACGCCTTCTTCACCACCCTGTTTACCTGTGACTCCACTTTCAAGGAACTATGAACCTGCACTCCAAGGTCTCTTTGTTCGGCAGCACTACACAGTACCGTACCATTACTGGTAGTACCATGACTATCTTGTCTACCTACAACACCACCTTGCAGGAACTATGTACCTATACCCTTGTTTGTTCGGACCCTACCATTAAGTGGATAAGTCCTGCTGTGCTTTGCCTTATCAAAAATTGCAACCGAGTAAGGGAAAAAAGTCCGCGTTGTATGGCATTGTATGACTTCGAGAATCAAGAAGGATTAGCAGCAGGAACCAAATCCAAAAAAAACCTGATGGCTGATAACTCTTGGTATTAATCAGTACCGTGCTGACCCCGTGTAACATGGGAAAAACCACAAGGCAGAGCGAGAGGTAAAGAAAGAAGGCTCACTGTTTGGAAAAATGTTTTTCTTTTTGACTTTTGTTTTCATTCATGATAGTCAGCATTCTGAGTGTGCCAGGTCTTCTGTGTCACCTTATCATTTCAGCACTTTGCCAGCAGGGAGGTGGAGATGACGGTGGACTGAGTGTAATGTCTCTGTATTTGCTGTCCAGGTATCATCATGAAGGAGCCCACTTCCCTGGAGGAGGAGATCAAGCAGATGAGGCAGAACGGAGACGGCACAGCCCCGGACAGCCGGGAATTTGAAATGTCTGATATCTTCTACTTCTGCAGGAAGGGGGTCGAGACCATCGTGGACGATGAAGTGACAAAGCGATTCTCAGCCGAGGAGTTGGAATCTTGGAATTTAATGACGAGGACGAACAACAATTTTCATTACATCAGTCTTCGCCTGACCATCCTCTGGGGACTGGGTGTCTTTGTGCGGTACTGCTTTCTCCTCCCACTGAGGTACGCATCCGAGTTGGCACGTGCTGGGACTGGTGAGGGTCAGCGCTCTCCCCCCATCATTCCTGCTTTTTGAATGCTTGGGGTCCATTGTAAACTGTTCCGGAGTTTGTTTCTGCTTGGGCAAAGTTTTGTTGAGAGTGCTGGTGGCTGTGCTGTCATTGCGCAGTTAAGTGAGAATCTTGGGACCCGAAAAGGCTGCGGAAACACTGGATGTGGATTGAGCCACAGGGTTAGGTCGACGAACATTCTGCACTGCAGCATCCAACTGATCCCATGGGCCGGTGTTTCAGCAGAGGACAAAAGCAATGGTAGATCCTGAACCGTCTAGTGCAGTGCTCCCCAAATTGTTTCCAGTGTGAGTCCAAATTAAGGGCTCCGTCTTTGTATGACGGCAGAGTGAAAATCCGATGTCTCCGAGAGTTGGTAGTGGGGCAGTTGAGTGAGGAGTTTTTGCCTTGTGGGAGAGAGCTTTACTTTCTGAGCAGGTAGGTTATGGTGAGCAGGAGTCGAGTGCTTGAGCTGCCAGTGACCAACAGCGTGGGGAGCCCTGGTCCTGTGCTTCCAAAAGAACCTTTGAGTTGCAGCACATTCAGATTTCCAGACCTACTTGTGAAAATCGACATTTGAAACATTTCCCAGAAGTGGAGCAGAGCTCAGCACTTAATGTCCTGTACTTTATTGAATGAAAGAGAAAGCAAACAGCGGGATTGGGAAACCTAGCCTGATAGTGTGATGCTTGGTGCTATGTTGCCACTATTGCTGCAATGATTGACTGACTAAAATGTTTAATGTGAGCCAAGAAGCATTGACTGGGGAAAATGGCACTTAAGTTTTTTGTTTCAAAAAGTTGACCAAAAGGGAAGAACTGAGAGAGCAATTGTTTGTGGGCATATAGTTTATAGATACACTTCTAGTGCAGGTGAGTAGAATTGTGCAAGGAGTCAGGGTTTGAGTGGCAGCATCTGGATCGAGCTCAGAGGAGACATGGGAATAGCTGAGTGTGGAGGTGAGTGAGGAATGGATAAGGTTTTCGACCACAGCGGGACTGAGGGTGCTGAGTCACGGACAGTATTTCAGAGCGAGAACGGGTCAGCCTTTCAGATGGCGAGGATTTATAGTTCAAAGGTCAGCTTGGGTTGAAGAAAACGGCGAGGTTACAAATGTTTCCTGCTTATGTGTCGCTTTGTGTCTGTCAGGGTCTTCTGTGCAAATGGAATTTTGGCATTTATTGCTCAAGGAATGGAGTCTAAAAGTAGTAGGGAAGTGTTGCTGAGATTATCCAAGGCGTTGGTGGGATCGCATCTGGAATTTTGCATCGTTTTGTTCCCCTTCCTTGAAGGATGTAATTGCGCTGGAGGCTTGGAAGATTCACTAGATTAGCTCCAGAGATGACAGGTTCGTCTTAAAAGGAGAGTTTGAGCAGTTTAGGCCAATGCTCACTAGAGTTTACAAGAACAAGAGGAGCTCGAATTGAGGTATTCAAGATGCTACGGAGGATTGAGAACGTAGCTGTCAAGAGGATGTTTCCTCATGTGGGGCAATCTAGAACGCAAGGTTGTAGTTTCAGGATAAGGGGTAGCAGATTTAAAATGGAAAATGAGGGGGAATCGTGTTTCTCAAAGGGGTCTGTAAATGCCTGGACATGGGGGGAAATAATTAAGGAGGAAGTAGATTTTTGATCAGTAACAGGTTGAAGGGTTATGGAGAGCGGGCAGGAAAGTGGAGTTGAGACTGAGATGAGATCAGCCATGATGGTAATAAATGGCGGAGCAGACTTAAGGGGCTGAATGGCCTACTCCAGTTACTAATTGTTAAAGTTTGCATTGCCTTGAAGACCTGGTCCTGGGATAACAACAGAGCCTTGGGTGGTAAGGACTGGATAGTTTGCTCGTTCCTGATATGGTCTCTCCTGCCTGAGGTCAGCAAATTGCATTCTGTTAGCTCTCAGAAAAGACAAAAGAGCTGGAGTGTGTTGTACAGTAAGTCATTGGCCAGTCTGCTACAGAAGGTTTTTTTTTGAAGGGAAATGCTACATCTGGGATTTTGGTCTCTGTAGCTGGAAGTGGATGTTGTTTGAGCTCACGTTAGTTTTTGATACAATGTCAGTTCACAATGGGTTAACTCTCCAGCAGACAGTCATTGGGAAATACAGACAAGTTACTGTAAAGAAGAAAGCTCTTTGCACAAACTGAGCAAACAGTCTAATCAGCTTTCCTGACCTTTTATTTCCACATTCCTTCAACCCCATTACCTTTGTCTGCTTGGTCATTGTAAACTGTAATGTTTGACATATGTCTACCTGAGCCACCATCCCGAGCAATGAATTCTGGACCCTGACAACTCAGTGGAGGCATTCCTGCTGTCCTGTGTTTTAAATCTCTTCCATTTCTCCCCCTTGCCCACAGTGGCCAGCTCTGGACCCTTGAGCCCTCCCTCTGATGTCAATGGATGAGAGGATCTCGGGGAATTTTCTGGTTTTAGTTCAGCCTCTGGCATTTGCTTTCCTGTTACAAGCAGCTTTTTCCCGTTACAAGCAGCTTTTTCCCCCGAAGTCCAGTGAACTTTCAAACCCGTTGACAGTTAACTCGTCCTCAGTTACAGAAACAGATTACAGCTTGTGCGAGCTGATTGAAGTACTGAGCGTTTAACCTTAAAGGCGATGACAAAATGATAAATATAGGACATTGGATAATTAAATATCCTTGCTGTGACATGACAGACAATTTCACAGTCAGGAGCCAGTGCTGTGGGCTGGGTTTCTATATCAGCTGATCTTTGAAACTCATTCGGTCCTTTTCCTCAGGTACTGACGCTTTACAGTTCCTCGGGCAGTCATAGCTCGCCAACATATCACCGACTGACTGTTCTTGGCTGTAAGTGATCCTCCAAGGGTAGGAGGTCTCTCGTGTTCATATGTAGACTGAACCATCTGAGGAATTAACTTCTTATGAACAGTCCTTGCCCACCAGAAAATAAGTCAGACAGTAGTCCAGTCCCGAAGGAGATCGTTTGGCCCATTGAGTCTGTGCTAGCTTTCTCAGTGAATCGGCCAGTCTGTCTCCCCACCTCGCGGTATATTGTGGCGGTATTGTTCTCCAGCTATTTCTGCACTTTATTTGTGAAGGCACCTGTTGACTTTTGTACCCACCGGCTTACGGCGGTGCATTCTGAATCTGAGTCACTCACTGCAGAACAGAAGGCCTGTCGTCCCACTTGTGTTCAGTCCATGCCCTCTGGCTCCTGTCACTTCAGCCACTGGTTTTTCGCAATGCCAAACACCTCCCCACATCCTGGAACCAGGAACTCTTCTGTAAAACCCTCCTGAGCCTTCACGTCCTCCCTGGGTTGAGGTACCAGCATTTGGATGCCCTACTCCAGCTGAGGATGATGTAGACAAAATAGTTTGTAGCCACAAAGTAGAAGCTTTGCCGAACTGGCACTGACAGAAAGTTAAACTGGCAATGTGACTCTCAAAAAAAACAAAAACAGGGTGAGGGATGTGGGAATTTTGCCGAACAGCGAACGGATGTTTGAGGTCTGCTGGAGTGACTGAGACTGGACTGGGCCATCATAGAGGGAACTGTCCATTCAATGGATCATGCAGCTGACCTTGTGGTGGAAAATATTTCACTGCTTTGTGTCTGCTTTCATTTTGATAAGCTCAAACCTCATGAGAGGATGGCCTAGTGGTATTATCGCTGGAGTATTAATCCAGAGACCCAGATAGTGTTCTGGGGAAACGGGTTCAAATATTGAACTCAATAAAATATCTGGAATTAAAAATCTAATGACTGTGAATCCATTGCCAATTGTCAGGAAAAGCCCATCTGGTTCACTAATGTTCTTTAGGGAAGGAAACTGCCATCCTTATCTGGTCTGACCTACATGTGACTCCAGACCCACAGCAATGTGGTTGACTCTTAACTGCCCTCTGGGCAATTAGGGATGGGCAATAAATGCTGCCTGGCCAGTGACGCCCTCATCCCATGAATGAATAAAGGGAAAAAGTTAGCTTGCCACTTCTTCTGAATCCACCAGAAGGCTTTGTCTCTCGTCTGATGAATGATTGAGTGGAATCAGGGCTACAGCCTGGAAACTCAAGAGAAAGAAAGTCTCCTTATATAGAGCCAAACAGCACAGAAACAGGTCCTTTGGCCCAACTCGTTCACACCAATCAGGTTTCCCAAACGAAATGTGTCCGATTTTCCTGCATTTGGTCCGAATCCCTCTTAAACCTTTCCTATTCATGTCCCTGTCCAAATGTCTCTTAAATGTTGTTTGTCACATTTTGGGGAGAGTAAAGTGTGCTGATGACGAGGTTTCCTCTTCAGATCGATTCCCTGACTGTCGGACCCCCCGGGATTTAGTTGGAGGCCGTATAGAGAAATACCTTTGCAGATGTTTGCAAGTTGCGCTGAATCTAATCTTGCAGTGTTTGTGGTTTCTGTTTCAGGGTTACCCTGGCGATTACTGGCATTAGCTTGTTGGTGATTGGAACGACCATGGTGGGATATTTGCCAAATGGCTGGTGAGCTTCTGAACAAAGCTTTTTATATCAGTGATATCAGGCTTCTTACCTTGGCCAGTTTTCCTTCCTGCTGCCTCACTGAATTTTTCATTGTTGCATTCTGATTCCCGATCCGCTGGCCAAAGTGGTCAGTCTTCACACGGGGGCTGGAGAATCGTTCCACTAATTGATGCCCAGATAGTGTGTAAGTTCAGTTCTTTCCTAACCTACTGCTTATTTGCAATCGTTCCAGCACAGTCACTAGGCCATGATACAGAGGATGCCTGGATTCAACCGACAGCCTTTCTGAATCCTGAGTCCGATTCCTGTTCAATCTGATTACAGTTAAACATCAAAAGGATTTAGTTTGTGCTTAAACTTCCCTAAGGATTTAACTGGGTGTTTTTTTCTTTTGTTTTGAAGAGGTAAATGAAAAGGTTGATGAGGGTAACACTGTGAATTTGGTATACCTGGACTTGCAGAAAGTACTACACAACGGACTTGAGGAAAATTCTAGGTCATGGAACAAAATGGACAGTTTGCAATGTGGATCCAAAATGAGCTGAGTGTTGGGAAACTGTAATAGTTACAAGGTAATTTACAGGCTGGAGGAAGGTTTGAGGTGGAGCTCCCCAGGGGGATCATTTTTCCTGAATTACATTAACCATTGTTGAGGGCAGTTGGGAAGTTGGTGGACAATCCAAAACTTGGAAGTAATACAGACAGGAGGATAGACTGTAGGGCTTCCGAAAGATGTTGACCAGATGGTGGAGTGGTACAGGTAGGTGGCAAATTAAGTTCAACACGAAGAAATGTGAGAGGTGATGCATTTTGGTAGAAAGACCATGGACAGACAATACAAAGGATGTAATTCTGAAGGGTGTACAGGGTCAGACAGACCTGGCTGTACATGTACATAGGTTAGTAAAGGCTGCAGGACAGAGCAGGGAGATGATGGTGACCTCCTACAAGACACATTTAAGGCAGAGAGAAGGAGAAATTCTTTCTTTCTGAGGGAAGTAAATCTGTGGGATTTTTTGCCACCAAAGGCTGGGTCATTACCAGGACGTATATTCCAAGGTTGAGACAAACAGCTTTTTGAATCAGTAAGGGAATCAAAAGAAGCCATTGTCTCAAAAGTCTTTTCATCCAACAAACAGTTAGGGTCCGAAATGCACTGCCTGGAAGCAGGTTCAGTTGAGGTATTCACGAGGATATTGGATGGTTATTAAGACAGAGATGTTGTGCAGGGTAATGGGGCAAGGGTGGGAGATAGGTACAAATTCATTCACCCGAGTGGGCCATATGACTGCCTTCTCCCCTGTTACAACGCTGTGACTGTGATCAAGCGTAATCTGGTTTGAAATCAATGCTCCCCAAGCAGTCATTTCTTTCATAAGTGTCCTTAATGTGTTTTTCATCTGAGGGTGCTGCTGGTTTTGTGGGAAGCCTGTGTTTTTGTGAAGGCTGTGAGACTGAAAAGGATTGAGTAAGACTGCCAGCTTTGATTGGGAGCTGGAATAGAATAGCAATGTCATGCGATTATAAATCTGTCGTGTTACCTTGCACACAATCTTCAGTGGTGCACTTTTCACTGGGAACCTGGGCTATTCCTTGGGTTACCCCCTCTGTAAGGAAAAAACAAGGAGACCCATTGTCATTCCCCAGTGACCAAAACCACTGCAGAAAGTGCTGGGAATTGAACGTGTGAAATTCTGAACATGTCCTCGGGCGATTTTGTAAATGTTATTGAAACCTTTTGTGTCTTGTATACTGTAGCTTCTGTCTTCAAGTTTGTGTCCGTGCACTCAAGTTTGGCATTGTTCCTTCTCCCTTTGCCTAGGTTGAAAGACTTTCTCAGCAAGCATGTACACTTGATGTGCTACAGGATATGTGTGCGGGCATTGACTGCTATTATATGCTACCATGACAGGTCTGTATAATGCACTGAATGTGCAAGCTGCTTTTAATTAAACCTGGTTTCTGCTTGATCAGGCCATCTCGCATTGGCATTAGAGATGAAGGGAATGTCTTATGTTTTACAGATAATCCCTCCCACACCCCAGATTACAGCCTGTTTTAGTTGCTGGTTTATATTTTAGCCTGGTTTCTAACTGAGGGATATACATATAAAAGCTGCCCCTGCAGAACACCTACGCTCGGTTCGCAATAAACAACTGCACCTCCCAGTCGCGAACCATTTCAACTCCCCCTCCCATTCCTCAGACGACATGTCCATCCTGGGCCTCCTGCAGTGCCACAACGATGCCACCCGAAGGTTGCAGGAACAGCAACTCATATTCCGCTTGGGA